GTTCAAACCTATCAGCCATTCTGTGGGAGAAATATGAGGTAGTCAGCTTCTGTAAAGACTGACAGCCTTGGAAACCCCATGGCACAGTTCTACTCTGTCCTCTAAGGGCGCGGTGAGTCAGAATTGACTCAATGGCAGTGAGTTTATTCTTTTCTGCTCATTTTTTGGCCCTAACCCAGGCACTGAGGACTGAGGCAAAGAGAGGTGGTTTTTTTTGTTTTTTTTTTTTTAATTTTTTAATTTTTATTGTGATTTGGGTGAAAGTTTACAGAACAAATTCATTTTCCACACAGCAGTTGATACATATTTTGTCTCATGACATTGACTGCAGTTTCCCACAATGTAATAGCTCTCTTCCTACTTCTTCCCCATAGTTTCCTCTTCCCTGTGTCCTTCTCTCCCATGTACTCCTGCCCCCTGAGCTGTCTCCCTGTGTAAACACTGGCCTTCTGTTCTCCCATGATTGATCTCTCCAAGGAGTATATCTACCTGATATAAATGTTCAGCCCATATGCCTGTCTTTCATTTGCCTAGAAGCCACAGGAGTGAGTTCAATTCCAGACCTGAAGGGCAGCTAGGGGCCATAGTGTCAGGGGTTTCACCAGGCTCTATCAGACCAGCAAGGGAGCTCTGGTGGCATAGTACCTAAGGCATTTAACTGCTAACCAGAGGGCTGGCAGTTCAAACTCATCAGCCACTCCTCGGAAGGAAGATTGGGCAGTCTACTTCCGTAGTGATACCACCTCGGAAACCCAAGGAAGGGTCGTTATGAGTCAGGTCCGACTTCATGGCAGTGAGTTTGGTGCTTTTTTTTAAAAAAATCAAACCACCGAACCTGGTCTTTTTTTTTTTTTTTTAATGATTTTGAGTTTTGTTCTACACTGTTCTCCCACTCTATCCAGGATCTCCTGTACAGATCCCCCTGTGAGTGGCTGACAGTGGTAGCCAGGCACCATCTAATTCTTTTGGTCTCATGGTTGTATAGGTCACATGGTCTGCCAGTCCCTTGGACTAATTGTTTCCATGCATCTTTGGTTTTCTTCATTTTTCATTGCTCTGGACGAGGAGAGACCCAGTGTCCAGAGCAATGAAAAGGCATCTAGATGGCTGCTTGCAAGCTTTTTTTTTTTTAACCCCAGTGCAACAGCTCCTCTCCCACTTCCTCTCGATAGTTACCTCTTCCCTGTGTCCATCTCTCCATGCACTCCTGCCCCCTGAACTGTCTTCCTATGCATAAGCAGCCCTTCTTTCTTCCATGATCGCTTGTAAGCTTTTAAGATCCAGTCGCTACTCACCAAAGTGTAGGATGTGAAACACTGTTTTCTGTAGTGTTATGCCGGTTGAGCTTGATGTCCCCCTGGGACCATGGTCCCAAGCCCACAGGTCCAACTGATCTCTCCCTCTGGGTAGCTGGCTGTGGCCAAGAAGTCACCACAATCTTGTCCCTTGTCAGCTCTACTATATACCTGGACATTCTTACAGAACATACAAATACGTTTGTAGAAACATCGTCTGCCAACCCTCTACATAGTCATGGGCACACTCCCCTCTGCCTAGACAAACCTGATCATTCAGCCTGTCCACCCATCTAGCCACCCATGTTTGCCTTCACTGACAACACAGTACTGTATGTCCAAAAGGGTTCATCCTTGTTGTCTGTACCTCCCATGTACCCCCTCTATGTCTTCTTCTTCCTCAGTGCCACTGTGTTGATCACTGACGTTTGGTGCATTGCCCTTCCCTTCACCCACATCAATACATGTCTCTACATACCTAGCAGTGTACCCACCCTTGGTAACCAACAAAGAAAGTTGCGTTACATATATAAACTTTTCCTTGACATTTTAATACAATATTTGTCCTTCTGTGATTGACTAATTTCACTCAGTATAATATCCTCCAAGTTCTGACTAATTTCACTCAGCATAATGTCCTCCAAGTTCATCCACGTTATGTGGTGTTTCGCAGATTCTACATTATTCTTTAGGAGCTCTGGTAGTGTAGTGCCTAAGGCACTTGACTGCTAACCAGAAGGCTGGTGGTTCAAACCCGCCAGCCACTCCTTGGAAGGAAGGTTGGGCAGTCTACTTCCATAGTGATACTGCCTTGGAAATCCAAGGATGGGTTGCTATGAGTCGGGTCTGACTTGACGGCAAATGACAACAACAATGTTATTCTTTAGGGTTGCATAATATTCCATTGTGTGTATGTACCATAGTTTGGTTATCCATTCTTCTGTTGATAGTCCCTTGGGTTGTTTCCATCTTTTTGCTGATGTAAATAGTGCTGTGATCAATATAGGTATGCATATATCTGTTCTTGTCCTAGCAGAGAGAGAAGCTTTTGTATCAGCTACCTTTTAGTGCATAACAAGCAACTCCAAACCTAGAGGCTTACATGACTGCTAGTTATTTGCTGTCAGTTCTGGGGGTTGGTGAGTAGCCCAGCTGGGTGACTCCTTTGCTTGGGGTTGGTGGGCTCACCCATACACTGGCATCTACTGGTGGTGAGTGAGCAGGCTGACGGCCCCCGAAGGCCACTGGGCTGTGGTCACTCATTGCCCAGCAGGCTAGCCAAGGCTCATGCTTGTGGCTATGGCCGGGGGTTCCCTGAGCAGTGAGGGAGAAGCTGCCGTGTATAGGGATGGGCCATGGCATCTCCTCCCGCAGTGTCTTCCTGGAGCATCGAGCCGCCACAGCCTGCATGCGCCATCTGCTGAAGTTCCCTCCCAGCCCGTGGGTTCCTGCTCTGACGTCATCGCGGAGGTTGGTGCTTAGAGAGGCCAACACCTTTAGCTGTTGCTCATTGCCTTCGGAATCATAAAAGGATGATTTTGAAGAGCTGTTATTCAAACGGAGCTCTCGCGGTTAGAATACACTGGTCCCCTATTGAAGCAGACATGTGGCAAATGTATGGTTCAAAAAACATGAGCATCTTTCAGATTCCTCCTGCAGTCAGCGTACAAAACGTTGAACAATTTGCTGTGAAACTGGCCAGCCAGCCCTGGGGTCATGGAGAACGTGCAAAATTCTGAACAGGGCAGCAGAGGTGTGTACTGATCAGAGGTGTGCACAGGGGCAGAGGTATATACATATGTGGGGAGAGATAAGGTGGCAGAGATGTGAGGAGCTATAGGGCAACAGAGATGTGTACGGGTGCAGAGGCGTGTACTGGTTTAGTGGTGTGTAAGGTGTGGGGAGCTGTAGGGTGACAGAAGTGTGTGTACAGGTGTGGGGAGCTGTAGGGCAGCAGAGCGAGTGCTGTGTTCCCTTTGTCTGACAGGGTGAGTAAGCTTTTGTCTTAGCACAAGAAAGAACGTGTGCACAGGCATCGAAGTGTCAAAGTGCATTTTGTCTTTGTGTTTTGTGGCTGTGGGATGTTGGGGAGGGAGAGTGGGTGGCATCTAGAGGGCCAGAGAGGTAGTTTGTACAAAGCAGCCTGGAGGTACGTCTGGCATCTGTGGCCAGCAGAGAGGTGGGAGTGATGTGAAGATGATGGAAGTTTGGTAAAACAAGTTTGAATCAGTACAGAAGACGCAGAAAAGGCATGAGAGGGCTAGGGGCACAGATAGGGGGCGGGGCCTGGTAAGCAGTCTCAGAGCAGCATGGTTTCATGAACAAACAGGAGGGTTTTACATAGTAGATACCAAAAAACCAAACCCACTGCCATCAAGTCGAATCCAATTCACAGCACCGCTGTAGGGCAGAGAACTGCCCTAGAAGGTTTATAAGGCTGTCAATCTTTACGGAAGCAAAGCCCAAACCAAATCCATTGCTGTGGAGTGGTTTCTGACTCACGGTGCCCCTAGAGGATGGAGTCTAACTGTCTTATAGGGTTTCCTAGGCTGTCAGTCTTTATGGAAGTGGACTGCCTTATCTTTTTCCTGCAGAGAAGCTGGTGGGTTCAAACCACTGACCTTTTGGTTAGCAGCTAAGTGCCTTAACCACTATGCCACCACAGCTCCTTATGGTGTAGATAATGTTCAATATTTCTAAATAAAAATAATAGATAAGATAAATCCTGTCTCTTATTGCCATACTTTCATAAATAATGATTCATATAACTTTGCCATAACCTCAAAGGAACAGTTTAGTGTATTAAAGATGTAGGCTTTGTGGTTTTATTTTCCATCAAACCCACTGCCTTTGTGTTGATTCAGACTCACAGCACCCCTGGAGGATAGAGTAGAACTTCCCCAGAGGGTTTCCAAGGCTGTAAGTCTTTATGGAAGCAGACTGCCTCATCTTTCTCCCATGGAGCTTTTGGATTGGCAGTTGAGTGCTTCAGTCCTTGTGCTACCTGGGCTCCTGTTTCCGTCAGAGTCAATGCAGCCTGCCCCACAGGCTGCCACTGAAGAGCCGTGAGCTAGGGCAGCCCGGTTGGAATCGAAGCAAAGGCTGTGTTGGAGGTGTGGAAAAGGACGTGGCCAGACCTAGTGACTCACAGCATAAACACGGGAGGGAGGTGGCACCTACAACTCTGGGTGTCACCTAGCATGGATGGTCGGGGGTTAGCGACACCAGCTGTCTGGAGTCTGACTTGCTGAGGGGCACACTGGGAGGCGTGAGGGGAGTGTTCAGTGTCTGCTCTGGAGGGTGCCGGACTCTGAGGCTGTGGGTGGGCCTGCATGTGAGAGACAGCAGGCTCTGTTGGCTGAACAGTGTCACGGGTTGGGTGAGCTTACAGGGGGCTGTCAAGTGAGGGAGGCAGGTCAGCCCAGGGGCCAGCCTAGAGGAGCAGCAGCCTGGAAGCTGGGAGGACAGTGGTGTCCACAGGGCTGAGCTGCTGGCGACAGGCAGCAAGGTAGGCAGTGCTGGCTGGTGAGCCAGACCAGGGCGTGGCTCTCTCTGGCCAGGGCCCGTGTGTGTACACACTTGTCGGGAATGGACTGGCCCAGGCTTCCTGGACTTCTTCAATGTGGGGTTGCTGAGGGTGGGCTTGTGGAGGTGGTGAGACATTATTACCCTGTCGCCTCTGTTGCAGCTCTGTGAGCCATCACCATGTTCTGGAAGTTTGACTTGAACACCACATCACATGTCGACAAACTGTTGGACAAGGAGGACGTGACACTGCAGGAGCTGATGGATGAGGATGACCTCCTGCAGGAGTGCAAGGCACAGAACCGGAAGCTGCTGGACTTCCTGTGTGGGCAGCAGTGCATGGAGGAGCTGGTGAGCCTCGTCACGCAGGACCCACCCCTGGACATGGACGAGAAGGTCCGCTTCAAGTATGTACCACTGCCAGACTGGGCAGGCCACGTGTCCCTGGGCAGAGCCACAGGCAGGCAGCAGGCTGTTTGCGGACAGCTGGCCACAAAAGTTTTCTGTTTGAGAAGCCACCCTTAAGTGTCCCACCTCGACTGAGACTGTGGAGGGCACTTCTGTAGGGCTGGGCAGGGGGTGCCTTGAAGCACTGAGGGTCAAGGAGGGCTTACAGTCAGAGTCTGGGAACGATGAGTCGACAGCAAGAAAAGGACCCCTCTTGGAGGTCCTGTAAGTGGACAGGCAGTGTCAGAGTGAACTGGGAGTAGTACTTACCTGCTCACGTGGAGGTGACTGAAACTGGGGTGCACCTGCACAGGGAGAGTGAGGGGGATGGCAGTCGGGGGCATAGGGATGTGAGGCTTCATTGTCACTCTTCCACTGCAGCAAGTCAGTTCATCACATGGATGGAGTGACAAGAGACGTGTTTGTATGTACATATATCTGATGGATGGAGTGTTCACGTGTGTATATATATGTGTGTATGTGTATATATATATATGCACACACACAGTTTAGAAACGAGGTTAGAAGAGAAGACAGCTAAAAGAGAAACAAAGGCTGTGAGAAACAGACTTGGGAATGAGAGAGGGTAGCAGGGTGGGTGAGTGGGAGAGGCCAGCTTTTCCTCTTGGGTCCATCTCACATTCTCTGACTTTCTAGAGCGTGTGTACATATGTACATATCACTCTGATAAAGATATTAAAACTTTTTTTTTTTTTTTTTTTGAGGAAAGGAGTTGGGTGGATGGGTGGGTGGATGGGTTTGTGGATGGAATGGATGGGTGGGTGAGAGTGAATGGGTGGATGGGTGGGTGGGTGGTATGCTCGCAAGAGGAGTAAGTAGGGTTAGTATTGTTTTTCAAAGATGAGAAAAATTTAGATACGTGTGAAGACTAGGAGTTGGGAAACTTTTTCTGTGGAAGGCCAGTTGGTCAATATTTTTGGCTTTGTGGGCTCTGTGGGAAGTACTCAAGTGTGCCATGGTAGTGTGGAAGTAGCCTTGGCCTGTGGTTGCTGGGTGGACATGACTGTGTATCAGTGGGACTTTATTTCACACAAACCCCACTCTGCCTCTCAGGGTCTGGCCTGCAGCCTGCCTTGGCCGGGTTCTGCTGCACACGTGGTCTTAGTGTAATATTCTCCCTGCAGACCTGGCTGAGCACATGGTCATCTCCCCGCTGGTGTCTGCAGTCTGAGTGACAGAGAGAGCCTCTTTTCCAGATAGTGAATGGTGAAGCTGAGCCGTGCGTGCCTGCTCCAGAGAAGCGGCTCCATGGGCTTTGGGTTGGCAGCAGCTTCTATCCTGCTTGAGACCTGAGGCTTCTTCAGGCAGTGGGCCTGAGGTGCAGCAGCCCCATCTGCCCAGAGACAGAGCCCGGGTCATAAGAGGGAGTCCCCTTGTGGGGTCAGCATGTTCCACGCAGAGTGCCAGCCTTGCTTCCAGACCAGAGCAGAGGATGCTGCCCACAGGCCTGGGAGCAGTGGCTGTGTGGCCAGCCCTGGAAGTGGGCAGATGCTCCTGGCTCTGTCTGGAGGTGCTGGATCAGTCTGCTTACTGAGTTCTGGACCTTTTGAGAACAAGATGAAAGAGCTGGCAGACGGATACTGAGATGACAGTTTTGTTCCTAATAAAGCAGATGTGAAGGAAGGTGGCTGGTGACTCCGGGCTGCTGGGCCTCACTGTTCCGGAGCCGCTCACCAAGCCTGAGCTCAGTCAGAGCTGGGCCGGCCGGCTGCTGGAGAGGAAAAGCCCAGTATGCCCAGTCCGTGCTTCTCTGGTGACCTGCAGGCCCAGAGCGGGCAGGGAGCCTGGGCTGGCTGAGCTCTCCCTCCACAGGGACGAGGCCCTTCCCTGCAGTACTTCCCAGAGACCTCCAGCCCTGACCCGCTAACCTCTGCCCCATGTTGTGTTCTGAGGCTTCAGCAGCTGGTCATCTCCTCTCAGGGTGTCTTGTAAACAGCCACCGTGGTCACGCTTTCAGGGGTTCAGCATGTTTCAGGACATTCTATTCTCTGGTGCTTACGACTCTGCTGCAGGATTCCAGATTGAGCACTTAAAGACTTCTGGCTTCCATCTTACTCTTGAGAAGTAGATGCCAGTGAGCAGTCCACTTGTCTGTCTGTCCCAGCTTCTCTCCCTTTTCCCTGTTAAGGAGCTCTGGTAGCATTCCCTAGTAATGTGGAATTGTAGGGGTTTTTCTGTTTCTTTTTGTGCTGGATGCTTTGGGATGAAAAGAGCCCATGGAAAGATGGTCTTGTGTGATAAGGGTCTCCCTCCACAGTTCTCTGCTCTGTCTAGGCCTTGGGTGGGTGCTGGAGCACCAGAATCAGTACTTGAGCCTTCCAGTCCTGCTTTTAGGTCACAATCTGGTCTGTGTGTTCTCCATCTGAGGACCGTCTTTAACTTTTATCTTCCCATCCTTCTGTGGATTTTTAAACATTTCTGCCATCATATTTTAAAATTTTTTAAATTTCTTTTTTATTATTTGTGGTAGTTCAGGTTATGTGTCAATATGGCTGGGCAGCTGGTTGTAGTTATTCCCCATGATGAGACTGGTAATTAACTCCATGGTGGGATCTGGTGCAGCACCTAGTAGCTGCTTTCAGGATGTGGTCTACTTCCAGTAGATAAGAAGCGTTAGGAATGGTCTGCAGCTTTTTGGTATGCTTGGACCCTGCGTGTAGCCAAGTCTTCATTTAGCAGGCTGCCATGATTCCTGCCGATCTTGGACTATCTCTGGACTTGAACTAGTGGCCTGCCATGTTGTTTGGTAATATTGGAACTGTGCTGTTTTATTTGTTGACTTTGGGCTGGTCAGCTTCAGCAGCCATCAGCTGCCTGAGTGAAGAGACACCTCTAGCTCCAGTGGGCTGTGAGCAAGAGGCAGAGTTGAAGCCCACGGTCAAGGCACTTTCATCCTGGAGCTTGGCACTTTGAACTTGGACTTCTAGCCTCCAAAACGGTAAGAAAATAAATCCCTGTTCGTGCCGTCTACCTCCTTGTGGTATTTTCTGTTAGAATAGCACTAGAGAACCAAAATGCTGTTTATTTATTTTACTCTCTTTACCTAAGTTAATATGTGTCCACCTTCTAGTTAGTGTTTTACCCTTCCTCCTAACTGGTAACCAGCTTGGGGCAATTTTTTTTTTTTTTTTAAATTTTATTGTGAAAGTTTACAGAGCAAATTCACTTTCCATACAGCAGTTCACATATACTTTGTCTCATGACATTGACTGCAGTTTCCCAAAATGCAACAACTTTCTTCCCACTTCCTCCCCATAGTTACCTCTTCCCTGTGTCCTTCTCTCTCAGGCACTCCTGCATGGAAATGTGTGCACAGATCTCTGTTAGCTGTTCATGCAGAGTAGTTGAGGGTGAGTTGGGCTGGTTTGGCTGCTGTCCATGGTTGATTGGTTGGTGCAGAAGCAGGTGGTGGCCCTCTGCAGATGGTGCAGTGGATGGGGCTACAGGATGTGTGGATAAGGTTGGGTTGTGTGGGCACAGTTGCTTTCTGATCACCAGCCAATCAGTGTGGGTACCCGTGGAGTCCTTGGCAAGTGAAGCCAATTAACGGGTTGCTGTCGCAGTTAGAACACCCCTTGCAAATATTCAAAATGGCTTTTCTGTCAGGCCGGTTGATAGCCACAGCTCCATTTGTATCCTTATTTGCTGTTTTCATTTGAGTTCTTCTACTGTTGTTTTTAGGTGCTGTCAAGTCAGCTCTCACTCACAGCAACCCTATGTACAACAGAATGAATCACTGCCAGGTCATGTGCCATCCTCATAATCCTTGCTATACTTGAACCTATCATTGCAGCCACTGTGTGAATTCATCTATTGAGAGCCTTCCCCTTTTTCACTGACCTTCCACTTTACCAGCCATGATATCATTTTCCAGGGACTGGTCTCTTCTGACAACATGACCAAAGTAGATGAGACGAAGTCTGGCCATTCTCGCTTCTGAGGAACGTTTTGGCTGCCCTTCTTCCAGGACAGATTTGTTCATCCTTCTGATGGTTCATGGTATTTTCAGTATTTTTTGCCAACAATTCAGAAGCATCAACTTTTCTTTGGTCTTCCTCATTCATTGTCCAGCTTTCACATGCATATGAAGCAATTGAAAATACTATAGTTTGGGTTAGATGCACCTTAGTCTTCAGAGTGACATCCTGCTTGTCAGTACTTTAAAGAGGTCTTTTGCAGCAGATTTGCTCAGTGCAGTATGACGTCTGGTTTCTTGACTGCTGCTTCCATTGGTGTTGATTGTGGATCCAAGTAATATGAGATCTTTGACAACTTCAGTCTTTTCTTCATCTATTGTGGTGCTGCTTATTGGTCCTATTGTGAGGATTTTCGCTTTCTTTATGTTGAGATATAATTTATACTGCAGACTGTAATCTTTAATCTTCATTGGTTGATGTTTCAAGTCATCCTCACTTCCAGCAAGCAAGGTTGTGTTGTCTGGATATCACAGGATGTCAGTGAATCATCCTCCAGTCCTGATGCCATTCTCTTCTTCATATAGTCTGGCTTCTCAGATGATGTGCTCAGCATACAAATTGAATAAGTATGGTGAAAGGATACAACCCTGACACACTCCCTTCCTGATTTTAAACCAGGCAGTATCCCTTTGTTCTGTTCAAATGACAACCTCATGGTCTATGTACAGGTTCCTTATGACCACAATCAAGTATTCTGGAATTCCCATTCTTCTCAATGTTACCCATAATTTGTTATGATCCGCACAGTTGAATGCTTTTGCATATTCAGTAAAACACAAGTAAACATCTTTCTGGGATTCTTTGCTTTGAGCCAAGATCCATCTGACATCAGCAGTGATATCCCTCGTTCCACGTCTTCTTCTGAATCCAACTTGCATTCCTGGAAGTTCCCTGTCAATATACTGCTGCAGCTGTTTTTGAATTACCTTCAGCAAAATTTTACTTGTGTATGCTATTAATGG